GGGTTAGGGTTAGAGAGGAAGAGAGACAACCAATGCAGACAGGTAGGGGGGACCTGGGTGGTCTCCTTGGATGAGTTTGGAATCTGCCCAGATCCTGAAGGGAGGGGGAGAGGAGAGTGGGAGGAATCGGTGGAGAAATGTCCTTTGAAGCCTGGGGGTGGAGGGAGGTGGTGATCTGCAGCATTTCTGTTGGGAGAGGAAGAAGAGTTTGGGAGCCATTTCATGGTTCTTCTTAGAGCAACACAAAGTTTAAAAAAAAGAAAAACAGCCCATTTGCTACGAAGAAAACTGCAAAGGCATCAAGCCTGACGAAGAAGACTAAACATGCCCCCCGTGGGCCAGCACGGACGGTGAACGGCCAGCATGGACGGTGGATAGCCGAGGACGCTGCGCGTTGCAGGCCAGGCTCGGTGCTCACTCCTGTCGCCACCGCCTCTTTATTAAAGGGAGAGCAAAGATGTGCCAATGGAAAGCACCCAATCTGAAGAGCAGAGAGGAATGCAGATAAAAAATAAACAAGCAAAGCTTCCGACAGTTGAGGGCAATCACGAAAGGCTTCATAGAAGGGAACTCGAGACTAAGACCAGAAAGTCAGGATCGAGCCAAATTTGGTAACGGACACAAGTGTACAGATTCAAGAAGCTAAGCGAACCCCACGCAGAATAAACACAAAGAAAGCCACACATCCGAGTGAAACTGCTGAAAACCAAAGACAGAAAATCTTGAAGGCAGCCAGAGAGAAACAATGTGTCATATACAGGGACGTGACTGTGTGAGTTCTGCTTACTTCCCATCCTAAACAGTGGAGGCCAGGAAACAGTGGAATCGCACCTTCAAAGAGCTTTCTGAAAAAGGCTGTTAACCCAGAATTGTCTATGCAGAGAAAATATCCTTTAAGAATGAAGGCAAAATACATTTTCAGATTAAGGAGAATTTTCTAACAGCCGATCTGCACGGCATGACTTCCAAAGGAAGTTCTGCCCTCGCTGGTGTGGCTCAGTGGACAGAGCCTGTGGACTGAAGGGTCCCGGGTTCAATTTCGATCAAGGGCACATGCCCGGGTTGCAGGTTCGATCCCCAGTGTGGGGCGTGCAGAGGCAGCCGATCAATGATTCTCTCTCATCGTTGATGTTTCTATCTCTCTCTCCCTCTCCCTTCCTTTCTGAAATCAATAAAAATATATTTTAAAAATAAAGGAAGGAAGTTCTTCTGACTTGAAGGAAAGGATGCCAGATGGAGACTTCGGGTTCAGGGGAGCATGAAACACCTGGGTAAGCACGGGGGTTTATATTGCTCACGGGATCTGCTGAGACTGAGCCGCGAGCCACGTGCACATCCGACATTCACAGGCACCTGACTGGGACACGAAGGCAGCCCGGTCCCTCCCGCAGAGCCCAGGTGCTCAGTGGAGCTGCGTGAACGAGGCGCAGGTGGAGTAGAGCTTCGACGCGTGCACGGGACATGGAGGCACCAGACACAGCTTCCTTCCGCTGCCTCTGGCCAGACCCTCCTGAGCTGCCGCGATGCCCCCTCGGGCGGCGAGCCCCCGGCTGTGAACTCCCACTGGGGCTGCTGCACGTTCGTGGACAAGACTACCCCTGGCACCCAGCCAGCGGTGTGAGTCCTGAGTCCCACAGGGACCCTGCCCGGTCCCCCCTCCCCAGGCCTCCCCATCTTCTTCTGCCAGTTTCACTGCAGCCCCGGCTCCCCGCTCCGCAAGTGGAAGCAGCTGGAAGGCCAGGTGCCTGGTGTGGGCGGCAGGTAGGGCAGAAGCTGGCCACCTGGGCCTCTGGGCTTCAGCAAATCTATTGCCGGAAGAGAATGAAATCTTTATAAAGCGCATGCGAGGATTCTGTGCTGGTAGGAGTTCAACAGGCACAAATCGCATTAAGGGATGACTCAGGGTGGCGCTGGGGAGGGCGGTGGGAGGAGAGCTGCCCTGGCCCCCAGGCTTCCTGGCCGGCTCCCACTTCAGCCTGCGGGCAGCTCCCAGCTCGCCCTTCCCCCAGGAGGAGGGGTCGGGAAGGGAGGCAGCTGAGGGCTTTGGGAAGCGCCTACCTGCTGGCGGTTCCCAGTGCAGAGCCGGCTCCACAAGTTCCAGGAACTACCTCCCAGGCACCTGGCAGCTCTGTGTTGTTGCTGGTCCTGGGGTTCGCCCCCTCCGCCCCCCTCCCCTCCCCCCGCCCCATCTGCTCCTTTTCAGA